CCCGCCCCAAAAGCGGGGCCGCCGCCGGAGAGCCGACATCGCGCCGCAGAGCCGACATCGCGGGGCGGCAGCGCGCAGCGCCGCGCCGGCAGCGCGGGTCGCGCCCGTCGCTCCGCTTAGGTCGGGCATGTCCTCCTACAGGCGGACGTTCAGAAGAGAAACAAAAAATCGCCAACAAAACATTCAACAATGATCCAATATAAACATATGTGTATCTATAGATATAAAACATCGTCGTCAGACTACTCTCCGCTCGAGAAAAATGGAAGCGGTGAAACTAGGTCTCGGCTAAACTAGATCGGGAATTTAGGTGCCCGACTTCCGCAATTCCGAGAACTAGATCGGCCCGCTTACACTCTGACTTCCTAGGTCCTAAAGCATACTTCAATTCTGCCTCAACATACTCGTGTGTCTCGTAGTGTGGGGGTCGGCTCTGCTGCGCTGACTTTGCTCCGATGGGGGCCCGTACATACGGGGCCAAAACCCCCAAACATGGATCTCGGCTAAACTAGGTCGACATCTGATACATATCTATATATATATATATATACACGTATATATATATAACATAGATGTATGTATATACACGTATATATATAACAAAGAAACAAGTGGAGTGCACTGATTTGCTATTTTTGAATCTTCCTCCTGTAGAGGGAAGGGACATGCCCGGCTGAAAGCTCCGCGGAAACTGCGGCCCCGCGCCGAGGCGCCCCGCAGCTGCCGCGCCGAGGCTTGAGCAGGGACCGACCGTCCCGGCATTCCTGTAGTCCTACCACGAATATTCTCAGAACCCAATAATTGAAGGGGCCCAAGGACACACAAATAAATACACACACATAAAACAATTCCCCATATTTTCCCATATTTTCTGGGTTTCTGTCTTCCCGCCCACTTCCCATATTTTCCCATATTTTCTGGGAAATCGAAGATTAATTGTGTCTGTGTGTGTCTTTTCCTCCTGAATAATGTTCTTATGACAAACACAATGTTCTTAGAACATTAACCAGATGAGTTAAAACAAGACGCTCCCAGCCAGAAGTGTTCTAAGAACATTCCGTGGGAACCACAAAAGGTTCTTAGCACTCTGTTGGGTGGGCCTATAGGCGAGCCAACACGCTCCGCCCCTGCTGGAGAGTAGCGCCCCTAGCCCGCACCGCAGTCCGACAACGGCGCCGGCAGCGAGGCGGGGCCCTCGCAGGTCCGCCGCGGCAGGCCCAGCTGCTCGTCCGCCTCGCGAGCGCTTCGGCGCCGACGACGGCCGCCCCCTTGCCGCCGCCGCAGCATTGCTCCTCCTCCTCCTCCTCCTCCTCCTCCTCCTGCTGCTCCTCCTCCTTCCTCCTGCTCCTCCTCCTCCTCCTCCTCCTCCTCCTCCTCCTCCTCCTCACCCCTCACTCCTCGCTCCCCCCTTCCTTACTCCTCCGTTCTGTGGCACGGTTGCCGCCTTGCCGTCGCCCTCGCCGCCGCCTTCTTCCTGGATGACAGCACTGTCGTGTCCTCCTCCCCAATGCCGTCGCCATCGTCGTCGCTGTCGGCTGTGCTGACGGCCGGCGGCCGTCGTCACAGTCTGCCGTCGATGGCGGCGACCAGCCGAGCTGCTCGTCCGAAAGGCGAGGGACAACGCCGCCGCAGCCACCGATGTCGATGTAACAGTCGTCGTCGTCGTCGTCGTCGTCGTCGTCGTCGTCGTCGTCGTCGTCGTCGTCGTCGTCGTCGTCCTCGTCGTCGTCCTCGTCGTCGTCCTCGTCGTCGTCGTCGTCGTCGTCGTCCTCCTCGTCGTCGTCGTCGTCGCCGCTGGCCTGCGGCGAACGTCGTGGACTGTCGCCGTGGGCAGTCGTCATCGGAAGGTCAGAACAGCGACTAGTCCAACTGAGAGGGACGCGCCGCTATCGTCATACGATCACCGTCACAGTGTGCGAACGGCCTCTGCCATGTGCGTCCACGGCGACAGCAGGAGCGACAAGCGACCGCACCGGCAACGAACAAACGAAACCGACCGACCGAGACCAGAGGAACATAACGAGCCTAGAAGCACGCGACAACGATACTGCAACTTAGCTGCCCCGATACGCAACACGCAACACGTATCGTATTGAGACGGAGCTCAACACGTAGGCTGAAAACGTAGGTCCGACGCGATACACTCGCCAAAACGTGGTCCAATACGTGGAGCCAACACGCAACGTATTGACACGGACGTCTTGAACACGGGACGCATTGCGCTTCGAAACGGGCGCATCGAGGCACCTGAGCACTGCGGCCGAACGATCGACTGCAACCGAACGACCGAACGCAGCCGAGCCGACCGAACCGGGGACAGCATGCCTTGCCCTCGAGGGCGCGCAGTCCAAGCGAACCCCCTGCCAGCGGAGAGAGAGAGAGTGAAGGGGCCCTGGGACACACAAATAAATACACACAAATAAAAGGATCCCCCATATTTTGCCATATTTTCTGGGTTTTCGTCTTCCCCACCACTTCCCATATTTTCCCATATTTTCTGGGGAGTCGACGATTAATTGTGTCTGTGTGTTTTTTTCCCTCCTGAGAGAGAGAGAGAGAGAGAGATCGCCCCCTGCGCTGGGGGGACCCCTGCTCGGCCCCGCGCCCCAGTGGCTGCCCAGCGCAGGGCACGGGCGGCGGGTGGTCGGTGTGGCTCGGTGCGGGTGGTCGCCCTCGCTCGGACGTCCATGTCCAGCGCACTGTTCGGTTTCGCGCGTGTTTTTTTTGCTCGATGCTCCAGGATGGTCCCCGATGGTTCTCGCCGAGAAAACAATGCACACGCCCGAGCGATGCCAGGGTGTGAGGGAGATAGACTGAACTGACCTCTCACCTCTGACACCCCCCCTCCTCCCAAGAGCTGGTCTGAGGTCGGGCATGTCCCCTTACAAGCGGAATTTGGACGAACGTGTTCGTTTTTTGAACAAAAAATCAAAGACCGTTCAAGCATTGTCAAAACTAATCCAAACTTTGTCCCCAGACTGTTTTTTGTGACATGTTCCCCCTGTAGAGGGACAGGCCCGGCTTAAGACACCCCCCCTCCTCCCAGGAGCTGGTGCCACGTTACCCTGCCGATGCTGCTGCCCGCGCCTGGCTGCTGCTGACTCTGCTCCTGCTTGCGCTGCCTGGTGCTGCTGCACGGGCTCGGCTCGCCTGCATTGGCGGCTCGTGGGGCCTCCTGGGCAGCCTGGGGAGTTCCCTCCTCCACATCCCCCTCCCTCGCCAGACGCGCCCAAGGTGACACACCAGGCCACCCCGACAGCTCCAGGGACCCCCGCTGGGACCCCGACAGCCCCAGGAACCCCCGACAGCCCCAAGGTGACACCCCAGAGCCCCAGGGACCCCCAGCCCCAAGGGGCCGTCAGTACTGCCAAATAGCTTCCAAACTGCCGACGACGATGCCACGTCGATGGAAAATACGCCCACCCTCCGCCAACCACTCTCCAACCCCCCCAGTCCAAGTCCAAGTGCGTCAGGTGTTACATATCATAATTCGTGGTGGGCGCCATCGTTCAGGGTCGGCGGCAACGGCCGCAAGGCCTTCTCAATAAACCCGGACACAAACGCACAATGATCATGACAATGACGACGATGACGATGACGATGACCATGCTGATGATGATGATGATGATGATGATGATGATGATGATGATGGTGATGATGATGATGATGAGGATGATGATGATGATGATGATCATGATGATGACGATGATGATGATGATGCTGATGATACTGATGATAATGATGATGATGACGATGACGATGACAATGACGATGATGATGATGATGGTGATGATGATGATGAGGATGATGATGATGCTGATGATGACGATGATCGTCATCCTCATCGTCATCACGCAGCGTGGAGGAGCCGGATCCGACCATCCGGGATTGAACGGCGACACTCGCGATGGGGAAAGGGGGGAAGCCGACACACGTTGTTTGTGCAGGAACCGACCGTCCCGGCATCCCTACAGCCCTACCACGACATCTACTTCGAACCCAGAAACTTCCTAAGAACAAGAGCAATGCTCTTGAAGCATCAACCCCATGCGTGAAAACCGGAAAGTCTCATCCAGAACTAAGAGCAGTTCGTGCAGATCACAGAAGGTTCTTAGATCATTATTTGGTGGGCTTATCGGCAAGCGTGGACGCTTCGCCACTGCTCGAGTTTTGGCCTCGCGGACGCGCTCGCAAGGGCGCGGTGTACAGATCAAGCCAGAGCGAGACGCGCGCTGGCCGCCCCAGATCACCACCTGACGCACGCAAATACACACGCACACACGTCTTCTCCAACGCACTGGTGGATGCAGCCAGCGGATCCGAAAAGTCTGAGACGGGCTACCTTCGAGTAGGTTGACCACCTCATTTGGAAGAGTAGATAAACCTGTACCTCGTTCAAAGTCGGGCGAGGACACACACACACACACACACACACACACACACACACACACACACACACACACGCACACGCGCACAGAAAGCAAGGCGAGAGTCTCACGATACCGCCTTTGCGCGGCCGGTCTCGCGCAGAATAGATCCGCGCGGGTCTCAGGGCCCATCAGGCGGCTGGCTGGCCCACGACCCATTGATGTTCTGGAAGACCGGCGGACAAAGTCGCCAGCGTCGTCGCTCGAATGCGCGCCAACTACGACGACGCCGGCTCGCCCGGCCCATCTGGTGAGCATCGGCCCCTGGAGGCCGCCTGGACTCCATCTGATCAGTTCTTCGAAGAAGATCCAGCCGTGGCGACGAGGAGCCTCCGGGAGGACCACAAGGGACACGAAAAATAACAAAACACATAACCATTAAAACTTTTGGCGCTGCGCGCGGATTCTTTGAATCTGCGCCAGACCCCCCTACCTGGCGCGCGGAGCGCGCCAAGGGGCGGTGCCAGAGGCGCCGCCGGAGGGGCCCAGGGCGGATCCAAGAAATCCGCGCGGAGCGTTAAAAGCTTATGTTTATGGCGATGTTCCTTCTTCGACCCGGAAGGACCAAGAGGTCGGGCGTTGGGAGAACTCGGTTTGGTGGGACCTGGTCTAGTGACGTGCACTGGGGGACGACCCCCCGCCCCGTTCCACCAGAACTGCCGCCACCCCAAAAAGCACCAGCTCTACGGCAGACCTGGATTTTGGTGATCCTGGTCACTTTGGGGGCTCCAGGGCCCTACTACCAACCAGGTCCCCTTACCTTTGGGTCCAGCGTGTCCCCCTACAAGGGGGATTTTGCACGACAGCAAAAAACAATCAAAACATGCTCAAAATTGCCGACACATGCTCAAATCATATTCACCAGACTATTGTTTTATCATGTTTGGATATTCCTCCTGTAGAGGGGCAGGCCCGACTTAGCCTTACCTGGGGTCCTGGCCACACCCGACAGGAGGGAAAGTGACGCCATGCATGGCCACCGTTGTCTCGACGGGCCCTCCTCCGATCCGCCGCCCTCGTCGCCGCCGCCGCTTCGGCTGCCGCCGCCGCCCTGGCCGCGCCGGGCGCGGGCCTCCGTGTCCGCCAGGGGCGGGCACGCGAATGTGGCGACGCAGCGCTCGTCGGGGGCGGCCAAGGAGGGGGGGGTGTCCGAGAGGGGGGGGGGTGCAAATCATGGCTGGCGGCTTGTGCGCGGCCCGGGGGGGGGGGGGGGGGCAGGGAACGCATTGAAATAAGAAGAGGCGCCGTGACATCTGGGAAAAGATCATGACCACCGCCATGATGTCCACCCCACCCTAGTCATCACCCCCCTCTTTGCCGCCCCCGAGCTCGGCGCACTGCCTGCAGCCGTTGCCCTGCCGGTAGTGCTCGGGGTAGTTCCTGGCGAGCTTCAGGAACTCCTGGCGAGCGCGGCCCCCCAGGCGTTTGGCAGCTCGGCCAGAGCGAGGCGCCAAGCTTTCCCCGTGCTGAGCGCTCGGCTCCACGCAAGAGCGGCCCCCGGCAAGACAAGCCCGTCGGTACGCGGCTCATCGACCGTTGCACGCGATGCAACAATACCCTCCTGCGTCATTGGGGTTGCCGCCCCCCCCCCCCTCGCCCCCGCGCCCCGCGAAAAGCGCGCACGCCACAAAGGCCACTCCGGCGAAGAAGCACTCTTACGTGTAGCCTTAGGTCGGGCGTGTCCGCCTACAGGCGGAGCTTGGACGGAAACTGTAGTCAAACCATACCCCCACATGGTCAAATTATCTCGGCAAAGCAGCCTAACGGCGATGTGTATAAGCATACCTGGAAGCATTCCCCTGAAGATTCAGGTGAGAATCCAGTTGTAGAATTCTGCTGTTCTCGCAGTCGCAGTCGCATTCGCAATGACAGTCGCAGTGGCAACGGCCTTAGGATCCAATGGAATCCCAAGGATTCCCAGGGATTCCTAAGGCATCCTTAGGCATCCTTAGGAATCCATAGGAGTCCTTAGGAAACCTTAGGAATCCTTAGGAATCATGATTCCTAGGGATTCCTATGGATTCCTGAGGACTCCTAGGGAATCCTAAGGATTCCGAAGCATTCGCCTGCCTCGGCCTCCTGAGCCTCAGCCTGCCTCAGCCTCAGCCTGCCTCAGCCTCAGCCTGCCTCAGCCTCAGCCTCAGCCTGTCTCAGCCTCAGCCTGCCTCAGCATCAGCCTGCCTCAGCATCAGCCTCAGCCTCAGCCTGCCTCGGCCTCAGCCTCAGACTGCCTCGGCCTCAGCCTCAGCCTCAGCCACAGTCTCAGCCTCAGCCTGCCTCAGCCTCAGCCTGCATCAGCCTCAGCCTCAGCCTGCCTCAGCCGCAGCTTGCCTCAGCCTTAGCCACAGCCTCAGCCTCAGCCTCAGCCTGCCTCAGCCTCAGCCTCAGCCTCAGCCTGCCTCGGCTTGCCTCAGCCTCAGCCTCAGCCTGCCTCGGCCTCAGCCTCAGCCTCAGCCTCAGACTACCTCGGCCTCAGCCTCAGCCTCAGCCTGCATCAGCCTCAGCCTCAGCCTCAGCCTGCCTCAGCCTCAGCCTCAGCCTGCCTCAGCCTCAGCCTGCATCAGCCTCAGCCTCAGCTTGCCTCAGCCGCAGCTTGACTCAGCCTCAGCCACTGCCTCAGCCTCAGCCTCAGCCTCAGCCTGCATCCTGGCCTCAGCCTCAGCCTCAGCCTCAGACTACCTCGGCCTCAGCCTCAGCCTGCCTCAGCCTCAGCCTGCATCAGCCTCAGCCTCAGCCTCAGCCTCAGCCTCAGCCTCAGCCTCAGCCTCAGCCTCAGCCTGCCTCAGCCTCAGCCTCAGCCTCAGCCTGCGTCGGCTTGCCTCAGCCTCAGCCTCAGCCTGCCTCGGCCTCAGCCTCAGCCGCAGCCTGCCTCGGCCTCAGCCTCAGCCTCTCAGCCTCAGCCTGCATCAGCCTCAGCCTCAGCCTCAGCCTCAGCCTGCCTCGGCCTCAGCCTGCGTCAGCCTCAGCCTCAGCCTGCCTCAGCCTCAGCCTGCCTCAGCCTCAGCCTCAGCCTGCCTCGGCGTGCCTCAGCCTCAGCCTCAGCCTGCCTTGGCCTCAGCCTGCCTCAGCTCGGGCATTCAAAATATGGCACAGGGCTTGTGTTCTGGGAACACGAAGATCACGAAAAGGCCCACAGTTGGCTCCGGGCAATCATAATACGGTACAAGAATTGTGTTCTGGGAACACGAAGAACACGAAGTGGCCTACAGTTGGCTCCGGGCATTCAAAATGTGGCCTGGGAATGGTGTTCTGGGAACACGAAGAACGCGAAGTGGCTTACAGTTGGCTCCGGGCATTCAAAATGTGGCCTCGGAATGGTGTTCTGGGAATGGATCCCTAAGGATTCCTAAGAATTCCCAAGGATTCCCAAGGATTCCTAAGGATTTCTGGGGCTGACCCTTTTGTCCAGTTTTGTCCAGGTCCCGCCCTGGCCCCCCTGGGGCGTCAAGATGCTCTTTTGAGCCCACTAGAAACCGATCAGTCTTCGCTGTTAGGTAGAAATCTCCTACAAAAATCGTCCCCCGAGCATGTTTGGACCATGCCTGAACATTCCTCCTGCAGGGGGACATTAGGAAGGCACCAACTATACACCAACACCGATCCTGGCCCAGGATCACCCTGGGCCCAGGATCGGTGTATACGCCCTCCTGCCTTGCGCAAGAAGGCATATACACCGATCCTGGGCCCAGGGTGATCCTGGGCCAGGATCGGTGTTGGTGTATAGTTGTGGCCCTCCGAGACATGCCCGACGCAAGTGCAGCCGAATTTCGGACACCGGGGCAATCGGGCAGCGAATCTCCTCCAGCACGGAACGCCGGCCTCGGGGCACGGGGTCGAGCAAGGGTCTCCCTGGGTCCGCCGCTCGAACAGAGCGAGAAGCCGATGTGCCCGGAGAGGGCGCCCCCCATGGCCGAGGCAGCCACGGCCGCGGCCCTCTCCTGAGGGGCAGCGATTGGGGGAGGAGAGGCACAGGGGGGGGGGGACGCATCGACCTGGAATCAGCGATACATCGTCGGCAGCTCGGCGAGAGGCCCCCGACAGCGAATCCGCACTGTCCTGGGAGGGGTGGGGCTGTCCGGTCCCCGTCGGCGATCCATGGGCGATGGGAGGTCGATGCGTCCCCCCCCGTGCCTGTCCCCCCCCCTTCGTTGCCCCCGAAATTCCCCCTGCCCCCCCGCTTCCAGCCCAGAGGAAGCCCTCACCAGACAGGCAGGCTCGAAAGAGCTGCATGGGCCCAGAGCTCCAGAGTCATGCTCTCTTCGCGACGCGGCGAGTGTCCACGACGCTTCGGACCTCGGGCTCGGGAGCTTGTCCGAGGCGAGGCTGCTCAAACCACCGAGGGTCTTCGGCGATCGTCGGGTATTTTGTGCTGGTCTCTTGGATCGGGGGTTCTCGCGCCCTGGGCGGTCTCCACCAGCTGCGCCTCGTCGGGTTAGCCTTCCAGGGACGCTGGGGAAGTGCCCTCTATGCCCCCGGATACGGCCAGAGAGCCCATACCTCCAACGTGCACGAACATCAAACAGGCCGATGTTTCAACAGACGGGTACCAAAACACTATTGAGATCGGCGAAGCACCTAGACGGAATACCCACGGCGAGAAACCAGCTCGAGTGTTCTGGAGCTCCACGTCTGGGAGCGAGGGGACGCCAGCACGGGAGAGGGAAAACAAGAGGCACGAGGTCTCGTGAGGGAGGGACGTCAGACGCCACGGTAACTACAGCCAGGGGGGAGGGGAGGCGAGAGGTCGGTTCGTGCGCAGGGCAATGAGAGCATGCACACAAGACCAACCAGCTGTGTTCACCTCCCGAGGAGGAGAATAGGCAACGAGGAGAGGGCGCGGACCATCGAACGAAGCGTGGGGGGGGAAACCGATGCGTGCGGCTCCCGCGCTGCCTGGCCACGGCCGTCCAGTGGTGGCGGCACCATCGAGAAGACCGACGGACCCCGGAGCGAAACCGAGACTCAAGAGAGGCCGCGGGCAGCCTATACGCAGGGGCGCGGCGACGCAGCAGCGACGCCGCAGGCGACCGAGCCCAGCTGGCCGAAGCGACCCGACCGAGCACCACAACCGACTGCGGTGGAGACACTGAACTTGCCATCGCTCAGACGTCCATTCCCTGTGCATTTTTCGGTGTCGTGCGTGTTTTTGTTTGCTCGATGATCCAGGATGCTCCTCCAAGGTCCTCGCCGAGAAAAAAATGCACACGTCCGAGCGATGCCAGGTGGAATGAACCGCGGACACCCGCTGCTGGTCCTAGATCGGGTGTTGCTAGAAGCACCCCTGGCCCAAGGTGCCCCCAGGATTCTCAGGGTGGCCCAGGCGGCCTCCAGGGCACCCCTCACGAAGCCCAGAGGGCCCCAGGGGCTCCAAAGCGGAGCGAAAAGCTGGGGGCACCTTGGGCCAGGGGCACTTCTAGCAACACCCGACTAGAGGGCAGAGGACAGCCACCCTCAGAATCATCACCCCGGCACGCGAAACGGGCAAACAAAACCCAGAGAAGGGATTGACCCGGTCGGGGCTGTTCAGCAAACGCCCAGGGCCGTTTCGTGAGCGCCAGCTCTCGGGTCAGGGTGTGTTTTCCACCCTTGAGGCCCAGCCACGGGCTGGCCGCCGACTCGGCTGCACTCGATCCTGCCCGAGGTCGGAGGCACTGACGGTCACGTTGGCCGCGTTCAGCGAGCAGGAGCGGAGATCCTTCCAGTAGTGCGTCGTCACGTCCTTCGCATCCTTGATGCCGTGGTGCATGACGGGCCCGATGTCGTCGCTGGCCAGCTTGTTGACGAACATCCCGTCCACCACGAAGAACTGAAGGCGAGGCCACACGATCAGGGAGCCGCTCTTCATCTGCCACGCGCGTGGGGGACCTATGGCACCGTGCGTGCACTTCACGAACTCCCAGTACTTGCTCAAGTCGTTGACGCCCCTGTCAAGCTTCCGGTAAAGGTTGAAGCAGCGATCGTAACCCTCCACCTGTCGGGTCGGACGAAAAGGGGGGCATCGCAAAGGGGGGTCCGAGGAAAGCGACCGGCTAGCGGGGCCGAAACCAGCTGCATACAGCAAGTCTCGTAATCGCGTAACCCCCCTTTCCTCATCCCCCCCGTTGGTCCGACCCGAACCTGGACCGTCTCCATGACAAGCAGGTGGATCGCCCCGTTGTCCGAGGAGGAGAAGCCCCCCCTGGGCATCACGGTGTTGTACCATGCCCAGCGCCGCAGGAAGGCCCTGGCGAAGGCGGTGTTGCGCACCATGTAGTTCCCAGCCATGACCTCTCCTCAGGGCGGGCGGAGGCCGCAGGCGAAGGACTCGGAGGGGAACTGCGGCCCATGTTGAGGCTCGGGTTTGCGCGCAAACGCCCTCCCGAGGTGGCCCCGCCTGACCTCAGCAGACCCCCCCGAGGCTAGCCAGGGGAGCTCGCAGCACGCCAACCCGTTGCCAGAGACGATCATGGCAGAAGATGCTCCCAGGATTCCCAAGGAGGCCCCCACGGCCTCCAGATGAACTCCCACGATGGCCAGACGGCCCCAGGGGCTCCCGGAATGGAGGGACAAGCTGGGGACACCTGGGGCCATGGACACTGTCTGGCTCCCCGACCAGGTGCGGCGCTGGGGTATTGCATTGTGGCTGCGCTCCTCCTCCTGCCTCTGCAATGTTACAGCAAAGGCGGGGAGGGACGAGGAGGAGGAGGAGGAGGAGGACGAGGAGGAGGAGCAGAAGATGGAGGAGCAGGAGGAGGAGGAGAAGGAGGAGGAGTAGGAGAAAAAAGAGAAGGGGGAGGAGGAAGAGAAGGAAGAGAAAGGGGGGAGGAGCAGGGAGGGGGGTCGGGGGCCCTCTTGGGGCACGGAGCCGTCGGAGACCAGTCAGACGTGCAGAAGACTGGCCGCCGGGGGGAGGGGGGCGGGAGCTCCGATGGAGCCCACGTCTCAGCGGCGCGCCTCAGCGGCAACGGCAGAGGACAGGGGATTCCTCAGCAAGCTTTAGGTCGGGCATTTCCTCCTACAGGGGGATCGTCGACCCAAAAAGTAGAAGCAGTCAAAAGATAATCAAACATGGTTCAAACATGCTCACAGAATCGCCCCCAGACTCATTCTTTTTTACTAGTTTTGAATTTTCCCCCTGGAGAGGGATTTTCCCCCTGGAGAGGGACGTGCCCGACTTGAAACAAGCCCAGAAGGCCCGGCAAAATTCAGAGCGCCGTCTCCGAAACCACAGAAGGGGCTCCTCGGCAAGCCCGAGGGCGCTTCCGTGAGGCCCGCGCCCTCCTGCGAGAGGGCCCGCCCTCGCTCTCCCGCTTGCCCCCTCGGCACGCCGCCGAGCGTCACGACGAACCGTGGCCGTCTTAGGTCAGCGGTCTGCATCGCCACCGCACCGCTGCCGCATCGGCGATGTCGGCGGCACGTCGGCGCCGCAGGCGCGCAGAGCGGGGGCCACCAACAGGGGGGGCGTCCAAGAGGGGGGGGGCTGCATGCAAATCATGGCCGGCGGCACGTGCGCGGCCCAAGGGGGGGGGCCAGGGAACGCACGGAAACAAGAATGGCCGGCATGAAACCCGGGGAGACACCATGGCCCTCGCCATGATACCCACCCCCCCTGGGTCATCACCCCCCTGTTGGCCGCCCCCGAGCAGACGGCCTGGCTCCACATCGAAGAGGCCATGCCCTCGTCCTCGGCCTCTCAGACCACGGGGGAGGTGCTTTTTTGACCTCTACGGGCCCACCACATCATCCCAAGCAGCCAGCGCGGGAACTGCAAGCTCTTGCACCAACACCGCGCTGGCACAACGAAACGTTGAGAAAGCACGGCCGAAAAACAAAAACAGAAGGAGGGAGGGGCGAGGGAGGAGAAGGAACGAAGGAGCGACCGTACTTTATGAGTTCGGACCCACGGCGAGGTAGCGCGATCAGCAACCGATGGCGGCCGTTGATGCTGCCGGGATCGTGTCCTGAAATGGGGTATTGTTGGGAGCGCTCCGTCGCGCATCATGCTCTGCCCTGAGCTTGCGATAGTGGATCGCCCGCCTTATCTTGCTGCAAGCAAGCACATGGATACTCGAGCTGAGAATCGGGTTCCATACCCAGTCCGAGGCGAGTGATGGGGGGCACGGGCAAGTAACCATGAGGTGAAGCAGTACTGTAAAGCAGGCGAGGATCACATATATCATGGCCGAAACCATCATGGAAGGGTCTAGGCGCCTGCAAACGTGTTCAGGTGTGCCGCCCGGGGAGGCAGAGTTTACGTAAGTACCCTAACTGAGCGCGGCCCATCGCTGGCTGATCTCAACGTCTGGGAGTTGGGGGAGGTAGGTGACCCCAGGAGGAAGACGCGACGGCGGAGGAGGGAGGGCATGAGGTCCAGAAACAATGATCCCGGACCGACCGAGCGAAAACCCGCTGAGAACGGGGGCAGCGGCCGTCTGTCACGGCAGCGCGGAGTTCTACATTGGCCGCCGATGCGATCTTTTGCCATTCGTGCCGGAGGATGTTCGTGGGAGGAGAGGAGGAACGCGGGGCAACATACTCGACTGCGCTCATGCGGTCCCTCAACCACTCAAGGGAGAGAACACCTCGGATGAAGTCCACGAGCGACCCATGCATCCAGGCGTGTTCCCCCGGCCGCGCTAGTGCAACCCTCTACCCACCCACCGGCCCCTCCTCTAAAGAGCGCTACGCCGTCCGCCGCGCCTCTGCAGCAGCGGTCGTTGGGAGCGGGTAGGAGGAAGCAATGTCCCATGCTGCACAGTTACAGTCGGCCTTGATTGGACAGGACACGCGAGAGGACACAAGACCCTTCCGAGGGCCACATTGCCATGGGGGATTTAGGAGGCATGGGTCGCGAGGCACAGGACACACAGATACCTAAGAGTGCCCTTGATTTGGCAGGGTCGACCTACTAATCAGGGCCGACTGTAAGCTGAAGCGAAGGAGTAAGGAGGGAGACGCAGGAGGCGATGGAGGACGTAGCGCTCAGCAGCGAGCACAGCAACGGGGAGGGGGGAAGGTTGGGAGATCTGAGATGGTTGCACACGGGCAACCTGTGCCGCAGATCCTACGACTGACTGACATCTGCAGGGGCCCCGGTAGGGCCCGTTGCTTGGGCTCCTGGTTTGCCATTTTAGCGCCGCCCCTGTCCACTCCAGACTTCACAAACAGCGGGCACATCCAACAATCTTGAGCGCGCCCCACCGCGGGACCGAAACCTAAAGAAACTGGCGAATCTGAAGGACAACGGATTCCGTGAAGCGCTGGCCAAGTGGAACTAGCACGCACTTTGCTGACTGCAGCTCCAGAATGGCGACCTTTTCAGCTGGAGCGAAAGCTGGAGCCAGGAGGGGCAGGTCAAGAATGGATCGGCGGGGGAGGGTAAATTAGGTGCGCTCGCGTCATATCTGACGTCCTACCCCTTCCTCCGATCCCGTATAATTGCGCAGTGTCCCTCTCTATGCGCACGGTCGCGGGTCGACAAGGACAATGATCCCTAGAGGGTACGCGATGCATATCATGGCAAAGCTTGGCGAAGAAGAGCGCGGCCGAGAGTAGCATGGCATTGCAAGCATGGTGTAGCATTGCGTAGGCACGCATTGCATACCATAGCGCTGCAGCGCGAGGCATGGCATGGCATGGTGGCACATATCATGGCGTTGCATATCATGCCATGCTACGTGAATCTAGCATGGTATGTCACTGGGCAGCCCTGCATCGCATATCACAGCATTGCAGAGCAAGGCATGGAATCACATCATAGCTGCACAACGAGTAGCATTGAAACCATTTCACGCAAAGGCTGCATGCACGGTGCAGCCGGCCAACCATGCTGGAGGTCCGACAATTGGGAAACGAGGCCCGTGCTGCAGCGGGAGCCACACTTTGAAGGACCGAAGACGTAGAAATGGGGTCGACGCTGCAGCGGGAACACCTTTCGAAGGAGCCGAACACGCGGATGGGAGCACGATTCCGAAGGACCAGAAGCGCGAAATGATGCCAGCGCTGCAGCGGGAGCACGATTCCGAATGACCAGAAGCGCGAAATGATGCCAGTGCTGCAGCAGGCACGATTCTGAAGGACCGGAAGCGCATTCATAGTATCTAATTGCGGAGGGGCGTGAGCGAGGAGACGTGAAGCGAGGGATGGAGGGGAGGGGGAGGGGCCCGGGAGAGGCCTTCTAATTTGATGCGAGCATTACAGTGTGCAGCGTGCGTGCCCGTGGGTGGCTTGCAGGATTGCCCCGGGGGCAACCCCAAAACAGCAGAACTCCTGGGAAGTTCCCAAGAGCGCAACGGGAAAACAGCCTGGCGCAAAAGTGCGGGCGCTTGCCTTGCTGGGCTAGGTATCCTGGGAGCGACCTAGTGAGTTGAGGGGCGAGGGAGGTGTGAGGCGGCGGTGGTCACCACATACGGGAAAGAAGTCCCGAGAAATCAGCATGCACCACGACCACGCCGACGACGTCGACGACGCCGACGACGACGACGACGACGACGGAGACGAGGTGCGCAGACGATTCGCACCGAAGCACGGATTGGAAAAGATCCCAAGCTGCAGGATCGGTTCAAGAGCACATCGTTGAGAGGTGCTGCAGCCTCCCCTGAACACAGGCCCCCCCGAGAGCATCAGCCAGGTAGGTCGGGTTTGCACCCCAGTCCTTGATGGACGCCTGGCGCGTGTCGGCACTGCCACTGCCGCCGCCGCACCCTCGTCAAGGCCACCGACCCGGGTGACGGCGACGGCGATTGTGGCGGTGGCCGACACGTCCCAGAGCCGCAAGGAAGGACGAGGGACGCATGCGCATCCTCATCCTCCTTCACCTCGGGTGGTGGCCGCGCGAAGTCGAAGCCGTCGTGTTCTCCGCGCCACTGGGATCCTCAGGCAGCCTGGGGAACGTTCGCCCTCCGACAGTGCAGGGGGTCCGCGGTCCGCTCCCACGGGACCGGATTTGGCCGGGCTGCGCACGCGGGTTGCGCATGCGGGTTGGCGGGTTCAGCATGGGATCCAGCGACAATAGGCCTGTGCATGTGCAACCAAAGATGTGATGGGAAGCGACAAATGTGCGCAGCCGTCCAGCAACGTATGCTCGCTTGCTTGCTGCGTCCGTTAAGCTCACATCCTACTGCAACACGCCGACTGAGGTCAACGCTAATGAAGTGTGTTTGCATGTTTCCTCCCCTGGGCTCCGAATAGGCAGCGCATGTAGAGCTGCACGTCGGCATCGTTGTACGCCCAGCTCTCCAGACCACGCGATAGAGTCACGGCGACATTGTCAGAATCAATCACTGCGGCCACGAAATCTGGTGACCTCGTTGCCAAATAACTTGCGACAGTGCAATGCTTCTTGAAGAAGTAGTCGGAATATCCAGAACACTCAGGGTACTCGGACCCGTTCAACTTGATAAACTCGTAGCCGTGGCGCTGCGTGTAGCAATCCAGACTCTGTATTTGAGTCGTGTACTTCTTCTGGAACCTGGTGTCGCCAACCAACACGATTCCGATGCGGCGCCGCTCGTATCTAAAGCTTCCGCAAGGCTGAGAGGGCGTGTTCTGCCCTTGAGATTGGAAAGACAAAGGAATAAGCTTCCCATAAGGCAACACTTGTGCGGACCGCCGCCTCCGGTGCTCGACCGCACATCTGTATCCGCCGCGGTGTCTCCAAAATGCTAAGGCGTGTTAGAATGCATGCGGTTTCTTCTGCTTCCCAGGACATTATGTCAGCGTGTCATAGCCCACCCCTCAACATGTTCTACACTTGCCATCTTTACCCCAAACGTTTATTCCCATCCTGTGTTGTTGGGTCCTCGTTTTTGTAAGGGGCAGCGCCCCGCGTCATCCTTCTCCTGGTGCCCTCATCCTCCTCCCTCCTCCCTGCCTCTGCCCTCCACGTGTCCGTTTCGGCACACCCCTCACGCGCTTCGTTGACCCACAGGGAGCTGCGCCGAAGGCCCCAATGGCGACGTCCCCATGTGGGCGTCACGCCCGTTTCGGCACACACACACATACACACACACACCTCCCACGCTTCGTGGCCCCTCCATTTCAGGCCCAAGTAGCGAAGTCCGCATGTGGCCGTCACGCCAGACTCGGCACACCCCTCACACGCTTCGTGGCCCCATAGAGGGGGCTCCACCGCAGGCCCAGGTCGACACGTTCCTATGTGGGCGTCACGCCCGCTTCGGCACATATCCCTCACACGTTTCGTAGCCCCATAGGAAGCTCCACCCAAGGCCCCAGTGGACACATTCGCATGCGGGCGTCAGACCCATGTCGGAACACTCTTCACGCGTTCCGGGGCCCCCCTTTGGGAGCTGCACCTCCGGCCCCCGTGGACGCGTTCGCATATGCGGGCCTCACGCCCATTTCGGCACACCGCTCACACGTCTTGTGACCCCACGGGGAGTTCCACACAAGACACCAATGGGTGCGGCCACATGCGGGAACCCACCCACTTCGGCACACCCATCACACACGTTCCGTGGGCCCATAGGAGGCTCCACCCAAGGTCCCAGCGGACACGTTCGCATGCTGGCGTCACGTCCATGTCAGCACAGCGCTCACACGTTCTGTGGCCCCAGACGTACGGAGTTCCACAGGGGGCCCCAGCGGGTGCGGCCATATGCGGTTCCCGACTAGTTCCTGCGCGCTCGATTACGCGCTTCGTGGCCCCATAGGGAGCTCCACCGAAGACGATGCTCACAACTGCTGGACTTACAACATACAACTGCATGCGGTTAGGCCCTTCGCTAGGATGATTCGTTTTTTTTGCATTGCTTCCCCTACAGCCCTAGAAGTTTCAAGAGAGCCCACACCAGCATCAAGAGCCCCAACTATCACTCCAAAGAGGCTTCAGGGGTTTGTCCGCCGTGGCCCTTGGAGGCAAACAAGCAAACTATCAGCGTAAGAAACCCTTGAAGCTCGGATCCGGGGACCTGGCAATATCATGGTGAAGCCATAACCGTAGCCGTGATAAAACCATGATGCCAAGAGCTTCTCGAGGCTACCTCGACGCAAGGCTGGCACTGTGGCTGTGCTTGCCGCAGGCAGCCAGACACTTTGTAGGAGAAGTAGTTGCAGCCATTGACGGTCGCCTGCACCTTGTAACTATCCATCGGCTTCTCGACGAGAAGCTCCATTCCAGCTGAGCAGTAGGTAGGGTCCGCCTTTAGAAGAAGAGCCAACAGCGTAAACAGAAACTTTCGGAGACCCGCACGAATTACTCGGACCGGCGCTGGACCCCCCTGACGGCGCCTCCGGCGCAGGCCCGCCGGGGCGCTCCGCGCGCCAGGCTTGGCGGCCGAGCGCCAACCCTCGAAGTCTGCGCGGACCTCCGGAAATTCATGGCTGTGCCGTTTTGCCTTCCTCGAGCCTTGGCGTCGTCCCCGCGGGCGCCACAGGTGCCCTGGTCCGAGTAAGACACGAGGGGAGACGACGGCACGAAGGCGACCGCCTGCGCGGGGGCGGGCGGCGTGAAGCCGCCTGTGAGCCAGACCGCCGCGTGCGTGTCGTTCAGCACCCTGTCCACCTGCAGCGAAAGCCCACTGCGCAAGAAGGGCGACGCGGAGGGGTCATGCCACAGTAACGTTGCCACGACTACACGCGTAGAGAGGGCAGACGATCCCACGTCTTGCCGATGCGCCGTCTAGGCGGGCGGGGCTGTCAGTTGTGACTATTTGCCATGTGTTGGAGGAAGCCAGGGGGTCTGAACTGGCTGGGGTCCCAGAGAATCTGTCAGGAGGGAGGGAATTTGCCAAATCCGCTCGAACTCGGCCCCTGCATGGACCCCTCCCCCTGGACCCCTCCGGGGGTCCATCTGGTGCAGTGCTTCATTCCGGGATTCGCTTTCACGGTCTGAAGACGGCCTCTGGGAGGCAGAAAAAGGCAAAAGGCCTCTCCGAATCCGAACCTCAAACCTGTCCCCCTGCCCTGCTGGTCTGGATCGGGGCTGGGGCACCGCACACCCCCAGCCGGCGAAACTGGAACGAAAAAGGAACCACACCGGAGCGAAACCGAAACGTGCCCCCCCGTTGCTGAGAACGAACCTAGGACCAAAACAGAACGGCGACGCATAAAACGTATTTTTTTGACACCTCGAGGGTCCCGAGACTGGATGCCTCCCAGCTGGGGGCGGCGTAGATGGGGTCGCAGGGTCGCGTCGCATTTGCGATGCATCGCCGATGCACCAGCAACGTCGCCGATGCATCGACGACGTCGGCGTGGAGAAAATCGTGCCCCAATCGTGCTCCACATCCATCTGTATCCTCAATGCGTCGGCGAGGCGGCACGATCCACCGACCCCGTCTACTCCGACCCCATCCGGGAGGCCGAGAGAGACTTTACACCCAACGCTGGGAGTGCCACCCCGCCCACCCTGCCCCCGGCATGCCCCGCGGGCCCCCCCTCCGAGGCACACAACGGTATCGCCACCGCGAAACCCTGGGCCCAAATCCGCTTGCGACTCCATCGGTGGCGACGAGGGCCTCCCAGGAGGCCCGGAAGGGTGGCGGCATCGGCACCTTCTCTTCCCGTCGGCGGCAAGCCCGGGGGGGAAGCAAGAAGGAGAAGGCCTTCTCAGGAGGCTCGGAAGCCCCCCCGGCCCTTCTGAGCAGTTCTCTGAACCTTCCCCGAAGACACCGAAAACATCTCACAAGGCCAGAGCGCTTCTGCGAAGCCCCGCTGCCTTCATAGAAGGTCTTCTCCATCTCACTTCCCCCCCGTCGCTCGCCGCCGACTTCAACTTTCGGGTCAGAACTGGGATCTCCAGCGCCCGTTCGGGGCGATCCGGGCATCCCTGGAAAGCTCTCCGGGAGGCGCAACCGCTGGAACGTATCCCGACGGTGGCAAGCCGCCAAGAAACTACGAAAACACCCACACACAAAAAACCTAGAACCTCGAAGCTCGAACCTCGAAGTTCCCCCCCCCCCGCTCGCCGTCGATCCTGTGAATGCCACCCCGCCCACCCTGCCCTCGGCACGCCCCGCGGGCCCCCACTCCGCGCAGCCCGCCCAGCCCAGCCGCACGCGCTCCTGAGGGGCAACGATAGGGGGGGATGGGCATAGGGGAGAGACATCGACCTGGAATCGGCGATACATCGCCGATAGATCAGCGAGAGGCCTCCGATAGTGAATCCGCGCCTTCCTGGGCAGGTTGGGGCTATCAGGCTCCTATCGGCGGTCAATGGGCGATCCCAAAGATCCAACGCACTGACAAAAATCAAGACGTCAATTTTTCTCCCATCTGGGCCCCTGGGGGCCCTCGCCGGGCCTCGGGACCGTCAAACAACGACTCAGGATGAAAAACCGGTCCTGGGCAATGGATCGAGACTTCGGGGACCGCGCATGGAAAAAATCACGCCGTCGGATCTCTGGCACCGGGGGTCGATGCGTCCCCGGCCCTGTGCCTGTCCCCGCCCCCCCCTCTGTCGTTGCCCCTGGGCTCCCCGGGCACGCAGGCGCCGGCGGGCCCGGAACTCCCCGCGGGCGCGGCGGGGGCGGCGGCGCACCACGACAGGTCCTGGAGCCAGGCGCGGCCCCCCTCCTCTCGAGGGCGGGAGCCATGTTCGGGGAGACTGGAAAGGGGCCGAAGGACACACACAAAGAAAGACACACAAGTCCCAGGATTCCGCATATTCTCCCATGGTTTCTGGGTCTTTGTCTTCCTTCCCGTATTTTCCCAGATTTTCCTGGGAGTCGACGATGAATTGTGTCTGTGTGGTTTTTTCCCTCCTGAGGGACTTGAGACTCGGGTGCGTGAGACTCGGGTTGGCCTGACAGGGCCATCATAAAAATGACGAGGCCCAATCTGAAATGTGACGTGACCTCCCGCTGAAAACACCCCACGAAAAACTGGACCGTCAAAATCCAGGACGCGCTCGTCAAAAAACCCTGCTGAACTCAAGTTATGGCTTACTCGAGTCTCACTTTTCCTGGACGAAAACATGTGGGCGACGAAAAGAAGCGGGTCTTACGAGAGATGGCACAGCGACCTTACGCGGTGGCGCGACCTTGCGCGGGCAGCTTACGTTCAAGTGTCGGCGAAGACGAACCCCTTTTTGCATCGTTCATGTGTTTGTGTCTTGTGTACAGTGGAAACCCGTCCACGAGAAACCTTCCACAAGAAAAACCCAGCCCTGAGACCCTAGGACGTCAACTGACTCTTGGCACGGGGACGTCATGCTCTCCCTGGCAACACCGTCGAAACCCAAGAACCCCAGGGCACCTTGGAGGCAAGAAAGGTGTTTCTTGGCATGGATCTCCACTGCATCTCAAAACATGATCTCATGGGCCCTCCGGCTGCCTTCTGAGATCGTCCTAATGCAACAGGCCCGTGGTGGACGGTTTCCCCCGGGGCAGGAGGAGGAGGAGGAGGAGGAGGAGGTGGAATGGGAGGAAGAATGGAAGGAGGAATGAGAGGAGGAGGAGGAGGAGGAGGAGGAGGAGGAGGAGGAGGGGGAGGAGGAGGAGGAGGAGGAATGTGAGGAGGTAAGATAAGATAAGATAAGATAAAACCGATTGCGAAGCGAGTTCAATAAATTACAAGGATCTGGCAGCCTTCTCAGCTCTGCTGAGAACTTTGGGCATGAGACCTCTTGAAAGACGGTCGAGATTTTCGCCGTGCTTTGGTAAGTGGGGCTCTCGGGGGGGCCTTACACTCATCAGCCAAACCTCCGAGCTGCTGCTGATGGTAGCTCCCACAAGCTGCACAATACCATATGGACAGGGATTCAAGTTAAAGCATTTGGTGAGAGCTGTGGACCCACCCCCCAGCGAGATGCAGACGCTGCCCCCGAGGAGCCCTCAAAATCCCCGTTGACTGAAGCTCAGGCTGGAAACATGCTGACTCAAGAAACTCCTCCTTCCCAGCCACAGTCGTGGACCCCTTACAGGCAAGGAACCTTTTTTTCCACACTCCGAGATCCTGTGCGCCGTGCAAAAAAAAGGCCACCGTGGCTGGGGCAGGAGGTGAGACCTTGGGGGGCCTGCGGGGCCTTCGGGGAGCCTTCTTTTCCTTCTCAAGGGCGATGGCTTCGAGCGAAGCTCTGAGCAACCGCTGGCGAACGAGGGCAACTTCAGTCCCTGTCTGCAACCCACGAGCACGCTGATCCTGCGGGACCCTCGCACGCACTGCCGCCTCTCCTGCCAGGTGGTCGACGAAGACGTTGCCAGCGATGAGGGCCCCCGACAGCTGCCGAGAGATGACCTCATCACCTGAAACATGAGACGGGACTTGGATGACAACGATGTGATACGGCTCCCGTCTTTGCTGTTCGAGGGTCTGCCCAACTTCACGCCACAGATCTGAATTCGCGCCTTGTGGTGAGACGTACAGTCGCTCCCACCATCCTCGGCACACCTCTTCGTTGTCCGTGACAAATGTCATGAGTCCTGCCGACCACCGAACTTCCAGGAGGAATGCCAGCAGTTCGCCCCGAGGGACGGTTTGCCTCACTCCTGGCAATGGTCCAAAAACGAAGCGAGAATCTGGTCCAGGGAGATCGCCGACTGCTGATACTGCTAACCATACCCGATGAAGTCGAGGATCATGTGTATCGCTGCCGCCCGAAACGTCACCGTGGATCACAATGGGTGTGGACTCGTCGCCCTCGCCGAAAAAGCTCTGATCCAAATCGTCGTTGTGACTGACTGTCCAGATCTCCTCTTGCGTGGGCGGGTCCACAGCCGTGAGATGAGAAGGTATGAGCCCTCGATACCAATAACATTCCATACTGTCTCCTTGGGTCAGCGCTTTGTGGCATAACTCCTCGGACAGGTCAAAGGCTGCCGACCCTTGGTTGCATCGGCAAGTCCAGAAACGATGCTTGGGTGTCTCTGGACCCTCCTCGCAGCGTGCACACTGCGACGGAATATCATATCCTGCATCGGCCATGCGAGACGCCGTCCATGCCCCGCCGACCGTGATCGTAAGTAAAAGATGTGCCAACCTGCGCCCGATCTTGGGGATCTGCTCAAGCTGGAACAACTGCTTCCTGAGGCTGAAGTTGTCGACTCCTGCCTCCATGCCGCCTCCACAGAATGTTGAAACTGCCGCCTGTTGCCACTGCTTCTGTTGAATAGACCTGGTGAATGCATGGAGGAGTTCGACGGCCTGATCCTGAGCTTGGAAATCGGAGCCTGCGAAGTTCCACCCCTCCTGGTGGCCCTCTGCATCGGCAGCCTGGTACCACAGCGACGGCTCTGGGATGTCCCAGCCTGCGTCGAGGAGGTAATGAATCACCGCCGTGAGCGGACCACGAATATGCCTCGCACGATGGCGAGGTCCACACTGCTGGAAGAAAGAGACTGTGGCACCCCAGACCTTCGAGATCGGAGACCGAGCCCACGGAACTTCCAACCATATTCGCAGCCACTCGGCCAAGCATTGGCGGGGCAAAGCATACCCAGGATCGGCTCCTGGGGCTCGAATGTCTAGCAAGGTGGTAAGGCACCGACCTCGCCTATGCCCTCCTGTGACGGCGCCTAGCCGCCGACGTAAGTGGGTCAGTGACGGAGGGGGAGGAGGAGGAAGAAGAGGAGGAGAAGGAGGAGGAGGAGGAGGAGGACGGGTCGCCTAAGCCCTTCGGAGAAACCCTCCAGAAGGCCCGTGGGAGAGCCCCTGCGACGCTCCCAGCGGTGACCTGGTGGACGGCTACACCGCCGGCTGCCACTTCCTGGAGCTGAACGCGGCCCCTTCCTATCCTCCTACAGGGGGATTTTCAACGAGAAATCGAACATACCCAAAAAGAACTCAAACATACCCAAAAAGAACTCAAACATGCCCAACACATCATCCCCAGACTGTTGTTTTGACTATGCTAGAATATTCCTCGTGCAGAGGCACAGGCCCGACTTCACGCTGCATGCTCGCCCATGGGCCCCACTGTTGCCGATCTGCCTCGGGCAATATTACGGTGGTGTTCGGCGGTTTCCGGAGGTCTTCGGCGTATGCCCGCGTTCTTCGGCGGTTCCTAGCGTTAGGTCGGGCGTGTCCTCCTGCAGGCGGATTTTGGATCAAGCATCATTCAAAAATGCTCGAAACAAACCGTCCCTATACTATTTCTGTACTATTTTTGAATATTCCTCCAGTAGAGGGACATGCCCGACTCCGTTCTAGCCGTCTTCGACGGTCCTGGGAGCGAAAGCTGGACGCTTGCGTTCGACAAGGGGCCCATGATCGAGCCACCTATCGGATTCTCTTTCACGGCGCGCGGAAGGAGGCGAGGGAGCGGGGGGGTACGAAGGGGGCCTTCTGAAGATGGCCTCTCGAGAGATGCAGGGCGGGCCTTTTTGGAAGAGCCCCCCGTGCAATGCGGAAGGCCCCCTCGATGCCCTGGCGGCCCGCACATAGGGCGTGGGGCATCGCTGGTGTTTAAGAACTCCCCTCAGGAGCGCCAGGGCCTCTCGCAGACGTCTTCCGCCTGTCAGACGGCCGCCTCCTCTCCCCCTCAGGAGGCAACTGCTGGGAGGTTTGCGTCGGAAAGATTAAGGAGGATTAAGCCCCATTGGGGGGCTGTTATGCTGGAGTGGGCCTCGGATTCAGCCGGATTAAACAGGATTAAACGGGAATAAGCCGGATTAAGCGGGATTAAGCGGAATTAAGCCGGATTAAGTCGGATTTCGGACCAGGGCAAAAACAGAATTTGACCCCCAGGAGTTGCATCCGAATCCCCCCATACTCGGGGGGTGGCCTTCGAAGAGCTTCTCCTCAGAAGCGCCAGGGCCCTTCAACAAAAAAGAAGCCTCCCGCCCGTCCGACGGCCGCCTCCTCCGCCCCCCTCCCCCCCCCTCCCCGCTCCCCGCCGGCGCGCAGACAACTGCAACCGACGGTGCCCATCGCCTGGGGTGGCCCTAAAGAAGAACAGCAAAAACATAAACATTGGCTTTTGGCGCTCCGCGCGGATTTCTTGGATCCGCGCCGGGCCCCCCTCCCTGGCGCGCGGAGCGCGCCGGCGGCGCCGGAGGCGCCGCCAGGGGGGCCCAGCGCGGATCCAAGAAATCCGCGCGGATGGCGTTTCTTCTTCTTCTTCTTCTTCTTCTTCGACACCAGCTTCCCGGGGAGGGCCCCGAAGCTCCCAGATGCACCCCGCAATGCCCTGAGGGGCCACTCGAAGACTACCCAGCTGCATAGTGAAACGCAACCCGCAACCCCTCGGAGGGCCGCGCGGAATTTCCTGGACCGGCGCTGGCTCCCCGTCCCTGGTGCCCGCGGCGGGGGACAGGCGCAGCGCCAGAGGGCTCCAGCGCAGGTCCAAGAGATCCGCTCGGAAGCCCGCGAGCTTAGGTTTAGGTCGTGGATGTCACCCTACAGGGGGAGGATTTTCGACAGAACATACTTCCAAAATGCGCAACAATATCTCAAAAAATGCTCAGAATCAGATGTTTGAATATTCCTCCTGTAGAGGGACAGGACCGACTCAAGCTTAGGTTTATGAACATGTTTCTTCTCCAAACCACAGGGGAGCCCGAACGCGGAACGCCGAGGAGACTCCTTTCGGGCGATGGCAGGACTGGGCTTCGTGGGGCCTGGTTTGGTGATCGTTACCGGGGACCCCCGCCCCGTCCCACTCCACCAACCAGAATTGCCGTTACCCGAAAAGCATCAGCTACGGCAGACCTGGTATAGCGTTTCCAATCCAAATTTTGGGGCTTCGGGGCCCAATCACTAACCGACTCCCCTAAACCGGCGAGAAGGATCTGGCGCAGACGGGTCGGCCGGGAGGGGCGCAACAGTACGTGCGCAACAGTTGGTGCCTGGATGCGTTGGTTTGCGCGCTGGGTACTGTAGTTGCGCGTGGATGCACATGTGTATCTACTCTCATGGGCAATCGTTGTCGCCCGTGCAATAGGTCGCCCCCACTTCCCGCAAGAGTTGCGCACTATGGCACATAGTCGTGGTCAAAACGATTGCAACTCTCGCCGCCAGCCCACCTGCGGCAGACACACTACTGCAGCTTAGAATTAGGTTGGGCGTGTCCTCCTACAGGTGGATTTTGGACGAAAATTGAAATAGCCAAAGCATGCCCCAAACTTGCCAAAACACATGCGAAACATCGCCCCCTGACTATTGTAGAGGCCTCCGGCCGGAGCCGCCGATCCGGGACGATCCCGCTGTCAGAAGGACGCTGTCGCCCCAGCGCGCTTGTCCAAACGTAAGCGGTTTGGAAACAGCTTGGAGGTATCGCGTGGGCTTCTTGAGGGGCCTCTACGACGCATCTTCGAGGCCTCCTGGGGGGGCGTCTTGGAGGTGATTGTTGAGCCTCTTGGGGGCCCTTTGGGCTTCTTGGGGGCATGCAGGCGGCATCCTGGAGGCCGCCTGGGGTGTGTAGAAGTATTTTTGTTAGCTTTCGGGAGCGCTTTGGGGCGCCTTTGGGGGGCCTCTTGAAGGCCACTTGGAGCCTCTCGGGGTTTCTTGGGGATTCCTGGGGCCATTTTGGTGCCTCCTGGGCGCTTCTCGGGCCGTCTTGGGCCCTTCTGGGGTCGTCATGGAGCCCTCTTGGGCGCTTGTTGGGCCCGTCCTGGGGCCCGCTTGGCTGTCTTGGGGGCCTCCCGGGCCGTTTTGGGCCCTTCTTGGGCCGACTTGGGGCCCTCTTGAGAGCCTCTGGGCTTGTTTCGGGGGTCTCTTTGGCCGTGTTGGACACTGCGAAGGCCGAAGCAGCGAAAATGCAAAACATGCACGTTTTCCTAGAGGAATGGGACAGGTTTTCCGTCTCTGGGCACTCTTAGGAGGTGTCGGGAGGGTACGGTGGCGGCTTCTGGAGCCGTCTTGGAGCGATGCTTCGGCTACTCAGGACCCTCTTGGGCCGTCCGGGCGGCCGCCGGGTTTTTATGATCCCGCGTTCGAGCTTTCCGGGGCGAGGGGCCGACCTGGAGTGAGCTGGAGCTCCGATTCTGCCACCAAAATTGACTCGGACCCTCCCCCCTACCCCGGCAGAGCCACCCCTGCACCCACCCACCCAGCAGAGCTGAAGCTCAAGAACTGAGGCTCAAGCTATATATGAGGGCCTTTGAAACTCACACGCCGGATCGGCGGATGTTTTTTTGCTATTTGTGAATATTCCTCCTGTTAGGGGGCATGCTCGACTTAAGCCCACACCCGATCCTCCGAGATCGCGAGCTCGTCCCCGGGCTCGTGCCGCACCTGGGGTGGGGTGGGGGGGGCGGCACTGCGTGTCCGCCGTGCTCCTCCTCGCTATCCGCCTCCTCCTCCTTCTCCTGCATCTTCCTCCTCCTCCTCCTCCTCCTCGTTATCTTCCTCGTTCTCGTCATCTTCCTCGTTCTCCTCCTCCTCGTTCTCCTCCTCCTGCTCCTCCTCCTCCTGCATCTCCTGCATATCCTGCATCTCCTGCATCTCCTTCTCCTCCTCCTCCTCGTTCTCCTCCTCCTCCTCCTCCTCCTCCTCCTCGTTCTCCTCCTCGTTCTCCTCCTCGTTCTCCTCCTCCTCCTCCTCCTCCTCCTCCTCCTCCTGCATCTCCTGCACCTCCTGCACCTCCTGCATCTCCTGCCCCATGCACCCCCTCTGCCAGCTGTCGACGGGCGCTCCTCAGGAGACAGCACCGAGGCGGCCCGGGGGAGGGCCGTGGCGATCTGGCCGAGCCAACCCTCCCGCACCAACCCTTCTGGGCGGCGCGCGGGAAGCGGGATAGGGCGCGAGGGCTGGCGCCCTTCCAGAAGGGCGAGGGGCCATCCTGGAAGGGAGGGAGGGAGGAGTGGGGAGGGAAGAGGAAGAGGAGGGAGGAGTTCCGTCGCAGTCAGGGGGTCGCTAGCCGATTCGTCGTCTTCCTCCACCTCCTTGGCGCCTCTCCTTGGCACCTCACCCCTGCTTCAGCCGCAGAAGCCCAGCTTCCTTCCCGCCCCCGCGCCCCACCCAGTGGCGAAGGCCGCGTGGAGACCCATTGACTCCCGCGCCTGCAGTCCTGGGCTCCGAGTCCTGAGGTTGAGGAGGATGTGAACCAAGGCCGCGCTAAAGGCGATGTTGGTTCACGGCAATGTTGGGAATCTGGTTTTTGTGACACCGAGCTCGCGCAGAACACATTGTAAGAAATGACTACGCACACTTTCTATGTTTCAAATGTGCGAATGTATCGAGCGAGAACGACGCAGGGAATTGTAGGAAAACGCGAACCACGCGTTCCGGCAATCGGCTTGGCCACGAACCACGCCATCCTGCAATTGGTTGTCCTACCTCGCCGTCATCTCACACACCGTAAGCGCGTCTAAATACGGGTGAAGGATAAGGAGGGAGGACGAGGGGGAGAGGGCCAAGAATCGGGGGCGCGCACACATGGATTAGCGATCCATGGATTTGGCGCGCGGTCGCCTAATTCATGGATCGGGGGAGGTGCCCTCCCCAAAATTCGGCCGGTGCCGCCTCGTTCGGCGGCGGAGACCCGCGATTCCCCAGGGAATCGGGACCCGTCGCTAATCCACGCCCCCTTCATCCATGTTTGCGATCGCCTGAGAAGAGGGGGAGAGGCTTGCCATCGCTCGGACGTGCATTCCCTGTGCATTGTTCGGTTTCGTGCATGTTTTTCTCTGCTCGATGATCCAGGGTGCTCCTCCTGGGTCCTCGCCGAGGGAAAAACATGCACACCTCCGAGCGATGCGAGGGAGGGCCAAGGAAGCAGCGTGCTTCGGCGCCCCGGGGAGAGGGGGGGCGGCACCGTCCCCCCCCCTGGCCGAGATGCCTCGCGGCGAAGGGCGCCGACAAGGAAGCCCACCGACGGGGACAGGCTTGGTGCACACTGCCGCTCGCCATTCTACAGTCATCGGCCTGACCTAAGGAACGATGTATGAGGAACGAAGCCTGAAGCCCCTTCTTCAAAGGAATAACGCATAAGGAGCGATAAATTATAATTAACGCATAAAGGACAACTAATAATGCATGCAAGCCTAAGGAACGACCGAGCCCCTTTTGAAAAGTAAGCAGTCCTTATTCAAGCCGCTCACTGTAAGCTGGCCCTGCACCGACGTCGATCCAGGATCTACTGACCCGGGTGAGTCCAAACATGGGTCAGCCAGGCCTTGCAGGATCCTGCAAGATCCTGCGCCTGAGCCCGGGTCCATTCGCCCCTGGCTCTGCAGGATCCTACAAGATCCGGCGCCGAGACTGACTCCCCGTCTGCATGGACCCCCGCCTCAAAAAGCTCCCGAGGTCGAGACCCCTTCCCCACGACCGGCCTGGGCCCTCTTGGGGGGGCACGGACAGCCCCTACGAGGCCAGGAACCGGCGGAAACCTTCCGTCGTGGTCTGTGGTTCACGGCACGAGGAAGTCAATGGCACTACGAAGTACATCAGCCCACGCTTAGGTCGGGCATGTTCCCCTACAGGCGGATTCTGGACGAACAAACTACAAAACATATCCAAAAATAATCTTAAAAGTCCCCTGACTATTTTCTACTATTTGGGAATATTCCTCCTGTAGATGGGGCGCGCCCGACTTAAGCCTACGCGCAGTGCGCCCCAACGCAATGGGCGCAGCAGTGGGCAGTCCGCTGGGGCTTCTTGCTAAGGGCATCGAGGAGCCCAGCGGCGCGCAGAGCCGGGAAGAGCTCGACGTATACACCGCGTCGATGGGTCGTCGTGGGGGCTCGGCGTAGAGACGCCCGTTTTTCTCGAGCTGCTGGAGGCTGGAGCGTCTATACACCGACCTCCTTCGCCGGATTTCCTGGCTCCGCGGCCGTCCAAACGACGTGGTGTTTACGTCGAGCCCCTCCGAAACGCGCACACCCCCGCCCGCCTCCAGGCGGCACTCCTCGCCCTGCCGCAGCTCGAGGATCAGTGTCCCCGCGAACTCCACCACGACAAGCCCGCTGCCGCTCCCGCGACCCCGCACTGCTGGGTCACCGCCGGCCACGCCGGAGTTGCGCACGAGCATCCTGCGGGAACACGCTGGCAGTTAAGACCTCGTCAGCGGCGTGTCTGTTCCCCCCCCCCCCCGCGAAGCTGCCCCAACAGCGTTTATGCGAGCAGCAGTGCGAGCAAGGTCGTCCCCCTACAGAAGGATTCTGGGCGAAAAAGCAAAAATAATAAAAATGCTCCAAAGTGGTTTTAAAAAAATTCAAAGAATCGTCCACTGACGATTTTCGGACTATTTTGGACTCTTCCTCATATAAAGGGACACGCCCGACCTAACAATCGCACGTGTGACGGCCGCGTCGGGGGCGGGCCAAGGCGGGCAGCGCAAGGGCGGGGGCAGTCAGCAGGAGCAGGGCGGGGCGCCGCGACTCAAAGCGCATCGACCCTCGATCACCACCCTCTTCCGTGCCCGGGTCCTCGTGACGCCGTGCCTCTGGAAGGGCATGCTCAGCCGAGACTCGCCCCCCGTGGGCCCGGCCTCGAAGCGGTCGCCGAACAGCGCGCCAGGCGCCTGGAACTGCCAGCCGCCGCGCTCCATCGCGTCCTGTGTGGACCCCCATCCTCCCAGTACTTGGCGGCGCGCATAAGGGGGTGGGGGGGAGGGGGGAAGGCCTCTTGGAAGGAGGCTGCTTCTCAGAAGGCGCGGGCCTTACATCTACAGACGAGGCCCGCCGCTTCTGAGGAGCAGGGGTGCTTCTAAGAAGACTTCCCCCCTCTCCCTACCCCCCTCTGCGCGTGGCCGATA